GTGTGTGTGTGTGTGTGTGTGTGTGTGTGTGTGTGTGTGTGTGTACAGGCATGGATATGTGTGTGTATTTATGTACCTTTAGTCACCATTTCTGTTCTCCAGGAAACAAAAAGAAGAGAAGTAAAAGAAAAATGAGAAAGGAAAGAAGTAGACTAGTGGGTGACCTATTCCCTTTTTCAGGGAAGAAAAATTCTACAAAACAGGGCGAAATTGGCCCTCGGCTCATTTCTGCTGCTATCCCGGGAATTGGTCTCTCTCTTGTTTGATCAATACTACAATGTCTTTCTCTTTGGAGTCTGAAAAAACAGTCTTTTCAAAAGTGCTTTGAATTGGGGAGAAGAGAAGGTTCTAGTTAGCGGGAGTTTGCATTACAGTGGATTTTGTTCTGTGCATATTGTTTCTTGGATTTTGATTTGGCCTTTTTTTCTCTCTCTGCCTTCCACACAGACCCCTTCCCACCAATTGCTTCCTGGTCTCTAGGGGGTAAATTTACCTTTACAGTAATTATCCCACTCCACAGCTGCTATTTGCTGCTTCCCAGTCCAACAGCCTTTTCTGGAAAAGGGGGGTGGGATGATCCACAACACCCACCTACTCCCTCCTCCACGGACTCCCAATTCAGCTGGAGTAATTGCCTTTTAAGGTGCACTGTACGCATGGCAGGTATTCCATTAACCCTTGGAACTCCTCCCTTTTATAGTCACCTGAGATGGCAGGTGGCCAAGAAATGAATACCCACCTGAAACCTCATGCATATCATTTAGTGTTTTTTTTTTTTTAAACTGATTTTTAGGAACTAATAGTGTACACATGTCCCCACACTGGAGGACAGTGTCTTGTTAGGTCTCTCAATTATATCCCAGTATAGTTCATTAGAAGTTGAGCATTCATATGCCCTGAAACCAGGCTTAACAAAGGCATGGTTCCATCCCTAGCCTCACATTGTCAGTTTAGAGATTGGGAAGATGTAGAAGCCAAATGCAGCCTTCCTTCTTCAAGTCTCATCATGCTTTTTTAGTTAAGAGCAATTAATCACCAATGGCAAGCAAGTAATTTTTTTAGGTGGCCAGAGGCTTATTTTATCAGGGTTAGCTAATAAATCAGACAGCATCAGTGAAGTAGGAGTTCAAACTCTACTAGGACTGAATAAACCAGCTTTTAGAAATGCTTACATTGATTCAGCTCTCTGAGGGCTTCTCAGTATTGTTGGGGATGTGGCCGCCCAACCCTGACTCCTAAAAATCAGAAGGAACTTAAGGGAAAATGTATGCCCAAATTATGAAAGGCAGGAGGTGACAATGACACCCAGTATGCCAGGGCCAGCAGTCCTGCCTGTCACAGACTGAGCCAGTTTGCAAGAAGAATTATTTGGGAGATGAAGTTTTGCCTATCTTAGGAATCCTGCAAAAGCTTGTACATCACACACACACACACACACACACACACACACACACACACACACACACGTCTCTCTGTGTGCATGTGTATTCACACGTGTGCATGTGCACCAAACCTTCTGTAGCTTCCTGATTCAAATGATAGAAATTCTCTACTATGATATGGGAGAGTTCAAATTACACTGGAAACCAAGTGGTGGTATCAGCAAGGGACTGCTGAGAAGAAAGCATGGAATAATGTTAAAGTTTATCTGCACTGGAAACAGAAAAGCGATAAGGTGATCCAGTGCAGAGCCCACAGAACATCCAGCTCCCCACCACTGTCTTTTGCTTCTAGTGGGTTCTGATCTTTTAAAACTTTGAAATCTTAAATTACTACAAGAGCTGATTGTTAAGATGGGCAGCCTCCCTCCTCCATGCTGTTAAAATTCTATTATTACTATTTTTAAAACCGAGGACCTATTAGAATGACAAAGGTTTTATACAAACCTTGATTAGCTTCTAGGGAGCTTGATTGGAAAGGGAAAAACTACAAAGACGTGGTTGCCTCCGGAGGGAGGGGAAAAGAAAGTATTTCTTTTTCCAAATATTATTTTGAAGCCTGCTTTCCCCTTCCCCCTTCAATCTCTTTTCTGAACAGACATTTTTCTCCATATTGGATAAAGGTTGTTTTCTCTCTCCATGACAGCCCCCACCCTCACCCCACCCCACCAAATCTAGTATATTTCCATTCTGCTGTGTTTTTTTTGTGCTACTCAATGTGCCATTAACTTTAAGATTTACTCCTCAGCAGGCAAGCTGGAAGATGCTAAAGCCAATAAAAACTGCTCTCTGGGACTCCAACTAGGAAGACTTTGGAGCTCTGTTTAGTATTCGCATGAAGGGAGGGCTGGGGAGTGAGGGTGGCTGTGGTAGTGAGAAGCTCTGCTGCTTAGAGAACCACTCAGCTCTGCGCTCTGCACCTAATGTGCCGGAGGATCAGCTCTGTTCATAGCCCATTTGTGGCCAAAGACAAGGCTGCTCTCTGTGTGGGGGTGGGTGTACGTGTGCGTTTTCATCTTCAAAACCACCAGCTCTAACACAGCATCTTCCGTGGCTCTCCACACTGCTGTTTATTAAAACCGAACGTCCATACATCCCTACAACTTCCTTAGCCCGTACTCCTTCCCTGCCTGGCCATCAATCTCTCTCAGAAAGCATTTAACTTGCCCACATAGCTCCAGCACCGATTAATCCCTGGTGCACATCCTATACATTACTGTTAGGGAGCAGAGCACTGGGCTAATTTCGTCACCCACCAGCCACCCACACACATTCTACAACTGAACTCGTTTGGGGCTCTGCCTTGAAGATAATAAAACAAGGAGAAAACAGGCAGGCTGCAGACAATCCCATGACCACTTTCCTAAAAAGTTGTTAGGTTTTAATTCTCTGATTATTCTGTCCCCACCTTCCCCAGACACTCACTAGCAGTGATTGCTTCTAGGGAGAAATAATATGCTAGGGAGCTCCCTGTATGGTGAGTTTGGGATACATTAAGGTTTACCTTTCCAAATGCATCTCTTGTATGCATATATTCTTCCCCAAATCTCAGCCTCACTGGGGAAGGGGATTGTTCAGTTTTCCTAGACCCCTCACTCCACCCAGGGGATGGTTCTTTCCTTGCTAATTCTTGCCTTGGGTTTTTATCACTCCTTCCAAATATCCAAAACATACCCTTCCCAGTAGTCACACCACAACCAGACTACTGAGGTACACATCTCGCTAGGGATAGTTTACTGTTAAATTGATAGCAAAATAAAAATATCTCTTTGAATTTGTTACCCCTCTCCCTTTTAGACGGTCGCACTCTTGCTCTTCTGGCCCACACAGAGGAAGAGGGCAATTCCTGTAGTGTTTTCAGCACCACGGCGATGGACAGCACCCCAGATCCCGGGCCAGCTGAGCGCCCACTAGTCAGCTCAATTTTCTGGGCTTGCCCGGAGCAGCTCTCCCTATCCCAATCTTTCAAGTCTCTAGATCCAAAACCTCCAGCCCCATTTGCTCCCATTCCTCCTTTCTTCTCATCTCCTGTCCCCACTGCCCTCTCTACGGCACCGCTTCCATCGGCTTGTCCCGGCGAACATCTCCCCACACACCCCAGCTCGGTCTCCGGTGCCGGAGCGCCTCCCTCCTCGGCGCCCGCCCGTGGCTCGCTTTCGCCCCGTCTCCCGCTTGCCAGTCGCTGGCCGGCCAGTTTGCTGCCCGCCCGCTCCTGCTCCCCGGCAAAGTTGGGAGGGAAAGGTGCTCTCACCTTTGTGCATGCCTGTGAACCTGTCCTTCAGAACCGTAAGCTCGTAGATCTTGCCGAACTCCTCGAAGAGGGGCTTGAGGTCCTTCTCATCCAGGTTTCGGGGGATCTGCCCAATGAACAGCTTGATGGCATCGTGGTCCTTCATGGGAATGGTCGACGGGTTCCCCGGGCTGTGGCTTAATCCGTTCATGTGCCCGGCGCTGCCCGGACTGCTGCCGAGCCCGTTGGTACTGAGGCTCGCGTTGTCAGCCTGTCCGTTTGCTAACGTGGCCATCTTTATATACATAGAGAAAAATCTTTCCTTTTATTCTTTCTCGCTCGCACTCTCTCGCTCCTCTCCCTCACTAGCTCGCTCGCGCTCACACACGCACACGCACACACACACACACACGCACACACACACACTCACACACACACGCGCGCACACACACACATACACACACGCGCGCGCGCACACACACGCACACACTCACACGCACACACACACTCACACACTCACACACGCACACTCGGGTTCTCTCCTCGGTTTCCTACACCTCTTTTCTTCTCTCAGCTCTCGTTCTATGTTCTCTCTCTCTCTCCTCTCTTCTCTTGCTCTCTCTCTCTCTCTCTCTCTCTCTCTCTCTCTCTCTCTCTCTCTCAACAGACAGGATCTCTGTCCTTTCGGTTTAAACAGGCTGGACCGGTTCAAGTTCCCTGCCAGACCAGGGGTGGGGGCGGCGAGGGCGCGCGGTAG